TGGTGGCCAGTCCCAATTCTTTTAGCTAGAAGCATCTGCCAGGAAGAACGTGCCGCTGGCGAAAAAGACCTGCAGGGGGAACTGCGCAAAAAACGCATCCTCGTACCGGCAGCCGGTACGCTTTCTACTAGGTTTGCATTGCATAGCTGCAAAAAACGCATAAAAAGGGGTGTCTGTGGGGGGCGTAGTTTTTCAGATTGTATTTTTCCTTGTTAAATATTTGCTTCTCATCAGCTATAGTGAAGCCGCAGAGGATATACTTTTTTAATACCCAGTGGCACTTACGAGAGGTCATTAATATACCTTTCATTAGTTTCATCCCATCGCTCATGATTTTCTTAATTAGCTCCTTTGGCGAGACTACATCAAATTCCGCGGGGTCGTCTGCATTCGTAATCTTGCATTTGGTACACTCGAAACCGTAAACTCTCATGTTGAGGGAACGTTGAACCCTTTCACTGGTTCCTACCGTTTAGGCCATTTCACTGATTCCTCCTTCGTTTTTGCCGACTCTGTTTTGTATTTCTTTCATTTCGTTCTTCATTTGTTTAATTTCCTAGGTGAAAACAATTTAATTAGTAGGTTCCAAGAATTGTTCAATAAATGCGGCCTACAAGCCGCAACCATGTTGTTGCACGCTCTGGAAAGCGCGCGGCGTGTGAGCGAGGCGGTGTAAAAACCGTCCCACATGTGTGGATGGCCGTACGATGCCATCCTATGTGTTAACCACATGTAATCACATGCAGAAGTAGTCTGCGTCACAGCTTCCTGTCACATTATAGCATAGGTGCTATGAGACGGACAGCAAAAGTTTGGTTTAAAAACACATGATCGCGCAGGCTCGCTTGATGTGCATGAAGCCCGGTCGTTTTTTCCTGCGAATGGTTGTTCATCGGGAAAATGCAAATTTAAGGGAAGTCGAAAGAGGATTACGAACTCTGCAAAACGCACTCGCTTTTGAGTCTGCAATAAAATTGAGTATTTATAATCTCTGCGTGCAGGGAATTTCATCTGCACGCAGAATTATGACCACCCGTGAACGTAGAATATTATTGCAAAGCTCCAGCTTTGCAGCTTGTCTGCTAAGCGAAACAGCCGCTTCGCTACCTATATCTTTGAAGTGCCTTAAGTCGTAGCGCAAGCGCAATTCAGAACTGTGTTTAAGTATATGATTTCCCATATGAATGACAAATACTCTGACAAAATTTCAGCTATTGTTTTCCGGCCAGTTTTCGAGTTAGCAGGTGCCAACTGCGAACTTTGACGTGACCATACGCGCGGTATAAGCGTGCACAATAGCTAAAAAATTTGAAACATTTAACTTGTGCATGCACAGAGAATATCCCTACAAATTTTCAGCTTTCTATCTTGTTTAGTTCACGAAGTCGTTTCTCGACAAAGAAATTTGCATATTTTTTTCAAGATTGTCCGTACGCGAGATCTAGGCGCGTATGAGCTATGATTTTAAAGTGGCGGAGTGACACATAGGGTAGGATATGCCCCTAAAATTTCAGCCTCCCAGCTTTCCTGATTACTGAGTTGAAAGTGGCTGACAAAGTTCACTCGCTTCCGGACGCACAAACATGCCGATGATCATTCGAAAATATGTGTTTTTGCCTACTGTAGCAGTCCTGTAGCGTTGCACAGCAAGACAGCATGAAAAGGGACTCTGTTAGTAGCTTGCGACTGTCCTCAACACTTACACCAATGTATTTATGCATTTTTGCACATATTCAAATGCAAAAACGCATATTACGTCGACCCGTGATGTGTGTGTACGTTTGTGTGTGTGTGTGTGTGTGTCTGTCTGTTTGTCCGGATATTTTAGCTCAGTAGCCATGCAAGCTTCGGCGCCGAAATCTTGTCAGTGAGTCCCCGGGCCAAGTGTCATGCCACTCCAGGACAAGGTACCAACAACCACCATGTACAACCAGGGCCCCGTGCACGAGCACATGGAACTTTTGGCGGGAAAATCGCTAATTCGGAGATCACAAAATCTGGAAGGTTGAAATTTTAAAGGGATACTGCCAGCTCACGGACAACTTAAAGATTTCAAATTCAGCCCCAAAGCATACGTGGGTCTCACATACGGACGTTCAGAAGCTTTGGCAGAAAAATTACTCACTGGTCAGCTAGTTCGTTTTCAAAAACCAACTGGTAGACAGAACTTGTTTACTTTCTATCATGCAAAATTTATGATGATTTACGCCACTGAAAGCACAAGGTAAATGTAAAGCAAGAACCACTCATACAGTCAACAACCTGACTGCTTCAAGTATAGTACAAAAACACATGATCGCACCAGCAGCCTGGTGCGCTCCAGCCTAAGTCTCCTTCCGAAAGCCCACAGAAGCAAAACCCGATCGCATCTTCATCCATTTAGTCTACCCCTCTTTTCGCTCAGTTGATATCCCATGGTTTCGTCCTTGACATTCGTAAAAATCCACATTTTACTGGTTTTCAGCTTTATCTAAGCCTGATTGTCATAAATGAGGGAATTTCTTCTATTTCTTTTTGCCAAAGACAAAACACTGCAACTTTTTATGGAATTTTTGAGTTGATCCAATCGATATTCGTTCACAGCTTCATCTAAGGGTGAGCTCATAAATGCGGAACGTCACCAACGGAAGATAGGTTTTTACACAATTTTCACTCACTTACGCTTATATTTACTTTTATTCATCATTAATTTATTTTTCGTTGTAATGCTGTGCTGTTCCCGTCTCCTTGCTGTTGTTTCGAGTTCCGACCTCGAGTTCCTGACTTGTGCCTTTGTTTTCGTTCTCTACTCTTCCTGCAATTAGTGCATCGAAAGCAACAAGTCAGTTTTTTCCACCCCCATATAAATACACTTTTCCAACCAACCTATTCTCAGCTCTTCTCTGGCCGGGGTCTTTGCGGCCCAAACCAACACCACACTTTCCCCTCTTTTCCAACTATCATACCCCGGACCTATGTTACCCGACTCTTAGGTAAAGTTACCACATTCTGGTTGCTTCATTAATCTCAAGAAACCCACAGACAAGTGCATTTTGCATAAAAACGCATGTTACGCGGCCGAGCCGACCTCCGGCAAGTGACTACCCCCCAACTCCTCCTCTGCCACGAGAGCTTGCGGTCCATTCTAGCGGTAGGTCGCCTCTTTCTTTCACACACCGCCCCAAACCGCATATTCAGCACTTCGAAGAACAACACCCACTACTCGCGGGACCCCTTGCAAGCCGCCCGAGAAGAGACACCAGTAACAACTGTCGTTTCTAGCTTGTGCACAAGCGAATGCATTTTGTGATGCCGAGCCGAGCTGAGTCATAAGCAATTATAATACTCGGCTCGGCTTGGCCGGTTCTCTGGAAGCCCTTTGGCTTCTCTCCCTACGCTATTTCGCAACGCCGCTCGCCGGAGCAGCTTGGCACTTTGCTAAGAGCGTAGGGTAGCGCTACCCAGTATTAGGCGGCAGGGTCACGTAGTTGGCGCGGTGAATGAATAAAGCAGGGCTTCTTACAAACGCTTACCACGGATTACAGTTGAGTTGATTGAAGCTTCGTTGAGCGGACTGCCCAGGTCGATGTCGTTACCGAATAAGCACGAAGCCGAGGCCAAGCAAGAATCCAAGGCCGTGTAGGAATGCGAAGCCAAGCGGGAATGCAAGGCGCTGTCAATGTCGGTAAGAGTGGCTAGGAAATCGTGATCGTTGTCGATGCCCTTGTAAACCGAAACCTTGTAAGCCGAAATCCTGTGGATGTCGATGACAGTGGCGAGGTAGTCGAAGTCGCTGTCGATGAGTGACGAGGAAGTCGAAGTCGTGGTTGTTGTCGATGAAACGAGAGTGTGAGGAAGTCGCTGTTGATGAAATGAGAGTGAGGGGGAGTCGAAGTTTTTGTTTATGAAATCAGAGTGAGAATCCGGCTGAGGATTCCAGTCATTTTTATACGGTTTTCTCGGGGAGAGACTAGGCATAATTTTCGGATTTTATCCAACCCACCTTGTGGGGGAGAGGAAAGTGTTCGCGTGCAGCGCAGCTGCGCTGATTTGTTTGTTTGTTTTAACAAGCGATATGCTTGTTTGCAGGTTCTAACTGTTGTCGTTATGTCAAATGCAGACATTGATTTATTATCTACATTTGCAGTAATACAATATCTGAATTTTTTCTTTGCAACTTTTTGATTTTAAAGAGACTGCCCGCTTCATCAAGAGGCACAGGTTGGGGACAGGATATAGAAGGGGAACGAGTGTGCAAGTCAGGAGTTCGAGGCAAGAACTGCAGACAGCAGTAAAGAGGAAGGGACGACGAAGCAGTAGAAAGAAAAGTGAATTAAAGAAAACCTAGACTTATGAAAAATAATTGGCCAGCGTACCGACTACCGGTGCGAAGATGCTTTTTTTGCACAGTTCTCCGCAGGTTTTTGTCGCTAACGGCACTGTTTTCTTCCGGCAGATGCTTCCAACTAGAAAAATTGGCAGTGGCCACCACGACTGTCAGAAAACATCCCCTTAGAATCTCAGCTTTCTGCTTTTTCTAGTTTACAAGTTAGCAACTTATCCGCCAAAAATTTTCACGGCT